ACCCCCGAAATCCATCACCCACCACCCCCTGAAACCCACTGATTTCGTCTTCGATTTCATCTTCGTGTTTGATTTCGTCGTCGACCTCTTCGTCATAGGTTTCAGGAGAGAGAACAAGCAAGAGAGAGACAGATTCAGACAAATGAGGGAAAGAGACGAAGGGACAAAAAAAAAAAAAAAAGGAGGGGGGGGGGGGGGGGGGGGGGGGGGAGAGATTTACACTACAATTTGGGGAAGTGAGGTTTTGGAAGAGGCAGGAAAAGGTACTATTTATAGTGAGGAAGGATCAGAGCATGACACGTGGACTCAAAAAGTGAAATATCGAGACGATTGGTCGCCCTAAAAAAAAAGTATCTAGAGGAATATGCCTAGCAGACTAAAGAACATCTCGGGACAAATAATTAAAGCTTGGCAAGGATGTGGACCCACCATGATGCTACGAGTTACAGAGAATGATTATTTCTACGGATAGGTCATGTCGGATTTGTACTTGAAATTTTAGGAAATTCGGATAAAGGGATAACCCTTAATGATGTGGATTTAATATTAGATGTCAATGAAATGAGTGTTCGGTACATATCAATGAATATTTTTTTGAAATCATTAATGTTAAGGCGATATGTATTGAGTGTTCGACATCTCGAATAGGGTAATCATTGCTGGACTAGACCCCGAGGAGTTGTCGGCCTCCTAAGTCTAGTAATTGCACAGTTTAAGAAAAAGATAATTCACTAATGATTATTTCTATGAAGAGTCTCTTGGCAGGCTTGATGGAACCCCTACATTGTCACCTTATCCTCTTAGAATCTATAAATAGCCCAATGAGTTGGGTTTATGCATTCACAAGAAACCCAGCACAGTAAAAATCTAATCCTCCCTTTTAACTCCTACTAACTTATGTATCGGAGGGGATAAGTTGGACAAATCTCCGACCCTCTTTTAACATTGTTCTCTGTTGTTGCATGTCACTCACACAACTCTTGCTGGGGTGCCGCTATTAAAAATTATTGCAGGAATTCACCTCTGCATATAAAATTATTCTTTCACTTTTGTCTTCGTGTCTCATTTTTTCTAATTTGCGATATTATTATTGACACCACCTGGACATAATAACGTAAAAATCACATAACATATGAAAATAAAACATGGTAGAAAACCAGTTCGGTTCTTCTCCAGGTTCTCAAGAATAGAAATTTCTCCAATTCTCTTTATGTGGCCAGGATTTATGTCCATCCATAAAATGTAATTCATTTTAATTATTCAAACTAAATTTAATGCATTGATATGGACATATCGCATCCATTCAAAACAAAATTGGATCATCTCTTAATTGTTAAAAAAATTGGGGCTGAGTTTAAAAAAACCATAAAAGTAAAGATAAGTGTGAAATTTTTGAAATTAGAAGCAGAAATGGGTGTTTAATATTCAAAACTTAGAGATGTTCAAACTATTTTTCAAATATCATGGAGTATCATATTATCTAATTAGATTGTTCTATTTTCTACTTTGGTTATTTATAATATAAAATAGAATAGACTTCAATTAGTCCATCTGTCAATCTCAAATAGACTCATCTAACGAGTACCAATATCTCCCTTAAAATTATTCACATTATTCCTAGTTATTGATAAAAATAAAGGTGGTTTTTTTTTTTTTTTTGATATCCCAACTATCTTAGTGAATCTATTTGACTATTGCAGAACTTTAGGCAAAGCCGCCACTCTATACAAAGAGATAAATCTAAAGATAATGACCTCAAATGGTGTACACACTAGTGAAATATTCGAACTCTTGATCTATACCTCGTTTGATTACTACTAAACTAACCCCTGTGTGATGAGGATGATTACTTTTTGATCCTTAGTGATCAAATGTATTTCTAATTTAAGTAGGATCTATTGTATATAAGTAAGTTTTTCACTAATTAATGTTGAATGATATATCAAGTGAAATGAAAAGAAAGTATACCCGAGATGATTTGAATTCCTCATTTAGTGGGCCGGACTCTTAATTTTACATAGCTAGAGTGTGGTCAACAGAAAAGGAACCCTTAACTTTGATGTCATGCCTATATATTATTATATAAAAAATTTGGAGTGACATTGTTGGTTTTATAGATACGCATGTTGCTAGTAAATAAATTTATAATATTTTTTATAGAAATTATGAATTATATATATAATTAAATTAAATAATAAATTAAATGCTGAATAATTAATACATATTTTAATTATTGTTAAATTTAATTATTAATTTATTCTATATGTTTTTGAGTACTTAATCTATCATTTATTTAGGTATCTCTTTAATCTTTTTAAACATTTGCACATTTAATTATATTATAAAATTATTAATTTTTATTTTGTTAAATAGATAGATTAAATCGCATATAATATCTATATAATAGACTACCTAACTATTTGAATTTTTATCCCCTACAAATTTTTTTCCAAAAATATAACATCACTTATTTTCATCATATGTTCAATTATTTAATATTTAATTAATTTATATTTTAACATAATTTTTATTTTAGATACTATCCATATAAAATAATATATATATAT